TCAGTATCAAGGAAATTGCCATAAATTGTAAATATTAGTTGAGGAAGTGAGTACTTTGTTAAATCATGAGATATCCATTTCTTCTTTGAGCAATATCTCTCAAAGCCCTCTTATTAAAAAAATAGTTTGAACATTATTATTCATAGGTGAGTTCAGAAGAAAAGATGGTTAATCTCAACCAATCAATTGCAGTATGATCAACAGATGGGAAATTTTATTTGAATCCTCTGTAAAAAGATAGCTACACCCTCAATAAAAGGTTGTCTAAAAAAATCAGAATCCACTAAGTGTCATGTGTAATGAGAGTTTATGTTTCTTAACTTAGGCTCCTTGAAATTTCAGAATCACAATTATGCCTGCAATCAGTCTGTGATGAGAATATATATTACTGAGTTTCTCAGGAAACTCTACACTGAATAAATAGTACATAAGGTAGCCCTACAGCAAAAAGAGCATTCAACATTTGCAAAAACAAATGCAAAATTGATTTGTACAGATGCACCCTCAATCCAGGTCACATAAATTCAAAAGGAAAATGCTGTAGAATCAGAAAACAAGCAAAATTAATCTCCCAAGAACAAAAGATATCACATATATTGAACCAGTATAGATTTCAGGCAAGAGAATAATCAAATGAAGTTTATAAAATAAGTGTATTTATGACAAAATTGTATAAAACAGAAGACAAAAGAGGAGGAAAAGATATTTTTAAAAGGTTGGATTTGAAAGAAAAATCTTGATATTAAACATAGTCATGTAAGTAATAAAACAAATAGATAATTTTTTAACAGCAGACTAGAAATATGACTAAAGAAAGAGTATACCTCACAATTGATTATTAGTTAGAATTCAACTCAACATAATGAAGTTGGAACGTATGGAATAGAGATTAAGAGACATGAAGGATAGATTCAGAAGATTGAATATATTTTCAGTAGAAGTTACAGAAAGAATCAAAATGAAAATATTCAGGAAACTGTCAAAGAAATAATGAGTACTTTTTTAAACCTGAATGAAGACAAGATGGTCACAATATGCGACACCAATCCAGAATGTTTAAAACTAATTCCATACCTTATCAACTTGTAGAACTATAAGAATCCCAAACCATAGATTATCATCACAGAACTCATAAATACCTGAAATATTCTAAAAAACTGATGGAAATTGACTGACAAAGACTTTTTTTTTTAAATCTTTTATTTATTTTTAAATAGAGGCATGTTTTATTTATTTGTTTGTTTGTTTGTTTGTTTATACAAGCACTGGGTACAGTCAGAAGTGCGGGAGGGTGAGAGAATTCACCAGAGCCAGAGCGGGGAGCAGAGCAGGCAGAAGGACCGAAGTACACTGCTGAGGGGAGCAGCGGGCGGCAGGAGAGGTCTGCGCGCCATGTGGGACCCTCCTCTGGTGGCCGGGGAGCAGCCGGGGATCGAACCGGGGCCGCAGAGGCCGCGGGCAGCTTGCAACCCAGAGCTCAACCGCTGAGCCACCGGGGAGGACCTGACAAAGACTTCTTGACAATAAAATTATGTCAGAAAACAAACAAAATATTTTCTGAGGAAAAGAACTATTATCTACTATATATATGTGTGTGTGTGTGTGTGTGTGACTATGTATAGAGGATGAGATATTATACTAGATACCAAACATATGCACTATATTTAGTATACTATATTATTTCTACTTCTACCAGCTAAACATGTTTTTGGCTATGGGTTAAAATTATCTTTCTCTGATACTGAGCCCTCATTACGTTTCATGCCCTTCTCATGGCAATAATTTTTTGTTAGCAGACACTTGGCATGATTTATTTTCACAGTTTCTTTAATTATCTGTCTCTCCATTGTTAGAATGAATTCAGGTGAAGTGAAAAGTCATTTATTTTGTTCAGAGTCGTCCTGCGGTTGCTTGGTTCATAGTATGTGCTCAATAAACAGTTGTTGAATCAATTTTTTTTATAAATCCATAGGCTATAGCTTGGCATATGTTTAGCAAACTATATTATTCATTTTTTTCATCATCTGTGTGTTCTTCACTGTATCATTAACACCCATTCATTGTTATGTCTTTCAACAGTATTTAAATAGGCACTTTGTGCCAAACATTTTGCCAAGCACTTTGGATTGATGTTAATTCCTGACCGAAACAGAGCCTCAAAGCTGCAGATACCTTTTGATGGCCACAGAGAATCAAAGTAGCAGTAGAACACCAAGTAATAAACACTTTGCTGGAGGAAAGTTCAGGTTGCTATGGAAACACATATGTATTGAGACTGACTTGTTTTCGAGAAACAAAAGCACACTTAAACTAACACAAGGAAAGGAATATTTGTCAAGACACACACGAAATGATATGGAGATCTCTGTGAAATTGAAAGCAGGACTGGTAATACTGTTGTCAACACCACAGTGACTTTAGAGATTATAGACTGAACAGCCAGCCAAAGTTGGATTCAAGAAGCCATCTTTGTTAACTGTGGCTCTGAAAATGTTATTTCATTTTTCTGTACCTTGGTTTTTCCATATTTAGAGTAGTGTTAATTGTAGTACAAATCTCTTAAGCTTGTTAGGGAATAAAATAAGCTAATACTTATGAACCATTTAGATTAGTATCTTGCACAGGATTCATTTAATTGTTGAATTTAATAGGATAGTGCTTTATTGAGACTGAATTTGGAGAATGTTTTGTACGTAAGACAAATCTGGGTAATGCAAAATGTTATGACCTTTGGCTCTGAGTTATATTTTGTGAGCCAAATTTTTCTTACTACCAGTTAGTTTTTTTTAACTACTTTAACTTATGTCTTCATTTTCATTTACTCTCCGAAGGGTGACTCTGCAGTCCAAACACTTTTAGCTGTAGCTTCTAAACGTTATTGTCTAATTATTTCTGTTTTTTTTTTTTTTAAGTCTCCAAAAAGGAACAATATCATTTAGTCTTCTTTGTATCAAAGGCCACAAACACCAGAAACCCCTGGCTTTCCTTTAGTCTATATTTCAGTTATCTTTGCTTATGGAGGAAGCATATGAGAAAAGAATACAAGATGAAAACTGACAAATACAACAGGCCTAACATTTTAATAAACATTCCCCCAAATAAAAAGTTAAAATTGCATTTATCAATTTTTATAAAGCAAAATGAAGTAGTTGTAATTTTAATTTTGTACAGAATATTAAAAGTGTATTTTTAAGTGTGTCTCTAAGCTGAAAGTATAGGAAATCATGCTATGTCCTAAACTGAATGAAACCAAGAATCCATAAAGTTACCTCTATGAACTCAGAAATCTCTGGTTCTCTCAGGACTCTTGCTAGTTCTTAGTCACTTTGAACTTCTGATGTCTGTGAGGTGTGTGGTGACAGAAAAAAGTCCAGTGTTTACATGGAGATACCACCTTAAAAACTCAATGGAAGGAATCACTCAGAATTGGAAGGTGGAAAATATAGCTCGACTCAGAATTGATAAAAGCTTCATGTACATATAAACCTCATGTGAATTTAAGACCTACTGGCATGATCCCCAAAACCTCCAGTAGGCATTTACTTTAAGTGAGTGTCCAGAGCAGGTAGTGTTTGCAAACATCAAACATAAGCACCTGTGAAATAAAGCATCAACCCATGAGGACTGGTAGCATATCTCCCAGTGACATCAGTATTTATAACCTGATGATTTAGATAGCTCAGTATTACTGAAATTTAATTTATATGTCTTCAGAAAATTCTTATATTTTATTTTTAAAAAGATTTATGCATCCAAGAACTGGGGTACAGGCCAGAGGTGTGGGGGATGAGAGGATCCACCAGAGACAGAGTAGGGAACAGAATAGGTGGATTGATTGAAATACACTGCTGAGGGGAGCAGCAAGTGAGCCAGAAGAGGTCTGCTGTGCCATGTGGGTAGCTTCCTGGGTGGGAATCGAACTCGTGTTGCAGTGGCTGCAGATAGCTTCATAGGTTGTGTCTTAACCCATTGCGCCGCCATGGAGGCCTTCTTATAATTTATATCTTCAAGGTATATCATTTTTGTATTCATATAACATTTAAGAGCTAAATTTGGTGATCTGACTTCAAGGTTCATTGTTCTTAAATTTACAGGAACTGTCCCTAATCTTGGGTTATTTGACTCCTTTCTTTAGTTCCATTGGCCAAATTCCATTTTACATATGTATGTAATGTCTGAGTATTCTATTTAGGAAAAGCAGTAAGGTGATGTACTGTCTGAGTTACCATATACCAAAGCGTGTCCTCTGATTCAAGAACAGAAAAATACAATATTATGGGGTACATTGTTCTTTTTCCATCAAGTCCTCTGTCATTGCTTTACATGTTTAGTACTCAGTATTTCTAAGTAAAGCACAACTTTTGTTGTTGTGGATTAAGCAACTTTGTACATTTTTTCCTTCACATTTCAAACATTATATCTCTGCAATTAAAAATTTTGTCATATTAATTCTAGAGTTTTAGATTCTCTTTCATATTTTAAACTGGAAAATTGATTGAAAGAAGTTCTTGATTGCTTTCTCATGGAAATAATTTTATTCCAGTATATTCTTAGTTGTTCTTCTATATCTAGAATTACTGAAGCAAATACAACAATTCACAAAGCAATTGCTTTCTTAGCTCTTCCTGAACCAACATCTTTTTATCACTACCATCACACACCTATATCTAAACCACTCAGAGATACAAAAGGAAAGCTGTTTATCAGCATATGAAATGATATACATCATACTTCCTATTTCAATAATTTGCAAAGACATACCTCATTTTCTCCTATGTCATATTGAATATTTTCCATCTTGTACATTATCTAGTTAATCTCTTACACAATTGTGTATTGCCATTTACAATGCATTAAAAATTAAAAACTAATTAGATTAAAAGATTATTTCAACTTTTCAGATCCTATTAATTAGTTCTAAAAGAAGATAAAGTATGAATGAAAGTATTATAATGCAAATTCTAAATATTCTGTATGGTTATATCTACCATTTGCTTTAGGTCACAGAATTTAGTGGAAAGAAAGATAAAAAGGGGAAGGAAGAAGAGAAGAAGGAAGGAAGAAAAGCAGAAAGAAAAGGAACAAAAAGGTGAGAGGGAAGAAGTTCCTACACACTGAGGGTAATTATGATTAGGGTAACTTTTTGATGTGATTGAGAGCTGTCAATACTTCAGTTCTCACTGTATGGAAGTGAACTATAGAATTGAAATAAATGGGCATATGCCTTCAACAACAGATTAACAGTTTTATCTATAGAATGCATTTATTTTGTGTGTAAAATTGAAATAAAATTTGAGCTCAAAATGAATAGAAAATTTTGGTTATTAATTAAAATCTCTGTTCTCTCTTTTGTCAGTAAACAACTAAAATAAAGAATACAAAATCCCCTCATAAAAAAGCTCTTACAGATAGTGCCCCTTTATATGTAAGGTTTCTTTCTACCTCTCCAGTACACAACATAATGTACTATTCCTGCTGTTAATCTACATTAGTTATTTTACATATAGTTTATCACAGTGAAATAATTGAAAAATAAGCCTATTTCCCCTTATTTTTTTATTATAAAACATTGCAACACAATGAACCTTTATCTGTCTTAGTGAGGAATAGTTTAATTCTGCATCTTTTTGTAATCTTCTTAAAACAAGAAAATGAGTTTGCTAATGTCAGTGCTGAGTCGGCTATGTATTCACCTAATGCTGTGCGCAATGTTTAATCTTTTCCTCATTAATGGTTTAAGTAAACATATGGTAATATCCAGCTGAGGTCAAGTGTAAGTAGATCTCTCTTATCAATTCTATGGAGAATCAGTTTAACACTTTGGAATTTTCTCTTGAGGGTAAAAAATTGACATTTAGTCACGCACTCAAATGAACTTCATAAATCCTTCACTTCTAGATTGAACTGTCATCTGGCATGACTAAATCAGTTTAAACGATGCCCATTAATGTCTCTTATATGGTCAGTGAACTTGATCTGATAGATTTTCACAGGGATCTACCATGCCTTTATCTAAATAGTCTGGAAAAGTTATGTCTTGTCTCATTGGTTTCTCATTGGATTTATAGTCTCCTCATAGGCTAAACTAAAAACTCCTCATTCACCCTAAAGACACCATTTTCCATCTGACCTTGTTCTCTTAAGACAGGGACCATTAATTATGACAGTGTTAATAGGAAGGAGCTCCGAGTTAAAAAGGATAACTGAATCTTTACTATATTTTCCATTCTTCACAGTTACCAAGAATTCACTTCTCTATTGAACCTGCACCCCATCTATTTATTTGATTGATATACGCTCTGCTATAGCTTCATACTATGAATCCGCCCTTAAGTTGTGGAGCAAGTATGGAATATTAAGTGTCAATGTTACTTAATATGAACATTTAGGTAAAAGTGAGTGCAAAGAAAGAGTACATTAGGATGACAATTGGTTTTGCTACAAATCAACTTAAAAAAATACACTAAGCTCTATAGATTAAAAAGATGGAAACAGTAGAATTGGTAGTGAGGGTGAACTCTTTTTAAAAATAAGCAAATATAGTAATGAATCTTAATAGCACTACCATTAAAATTCTTTTTTTAGCTTTTTTTGGAATATTTATTTATTTACACATGCAATAACTGGGGTACAGGCCAGAGGTGAGGGAGGGGTGAGAGGATTCACCAGAAACAGAGTGGGGAGCAGAACAGGCAGACTGACTGAAGTACACTGCTGAGGGGAGCAGCGGGCCAGTCAGGAGAGGTCTGCTGTGCCATGTGGGTAGCTTCCTGGCCGGCTGGGGATTCAACTCGTGCTGCAGAGGCTGTGGATAGCATCATAGTGCAGTGCTTAACCCATTGTGCCACCAGGGAGGCCTTATTAAAATCCTTACAAAGTATATGATTATATTATATGTTTCAAGATAATCATAAAGACTAATTGTGATATGTGAGTATAGCAGTTTTCAATATATTTGTTCTCAGGATGTATTTGAACTCAAATATTTTTTAGGAATTTAAATAACTTGATTATTGATACATGTGCTATTGTTAACTGCATTAGAAATTAAAACTGTGAAAATGTTCAAAATATTAACATATTTATAATGAAGATAACAAAGGCATTATATGGATAAATCCAATATAAATAAAACACTTGTATTATATTTTTCAATGAAATGAGAAAAATGGCATTGTGTTTCACTTGTCAAATATCTTAAATGTCTAACTTAATGTAAAAGAGATGGATTTTTCAGAAATCTGTACATTTAATCTATCGGTATTTTACTATATTAACATCATGTAGCTTCTGGAAAACTGCTGTACACACATTGGAAAGATACATAACATCTTAACATAATTAAGAAAATGGCTTTATATCATAGATTCCTTCAAAGGGGTCTTCAGGGACTTCTAGGGAGTTTCTTTGGGCCATGGCTTGAGACTGCTAGACTAGTAAAGCACGTGAGGTTTAAAGTTGTATATGATATATATCTTGGTTGTCTTCACTACTTGCTAGTTATTTATTATGGAGTAAGTATCTTAACCCTTGTAAAACTCATGTATTCCATTACAAAATGGACATAATAATAGTGACTACCTGATCAAATTGTTTTGAGGTTTCAAATAAATGCCAAATACAGCTTACTATTTAATGGTGAAAAAAAAAAATGAACCGCAGTAGTCATTTGTTCTTATTCTATAATTCAAATATTTGTCAAGGTGAACCATTTAAAATTTGCTTTTCATAGCCTGAAGTTCATTTTGATTTTACTTAGTTCACATTTGTTTCTCTCTACTTACCATATGAATGAAATCGTATGTTTTTTGTCTTTTTCTGTCTGACTTATTTCACTAGCTATAGTCTGTCTAGGTTCATTCAGTTGTTGCACATAGCAGGGTTCATCTATTTTATGGCTGAATAGTATTCCATTGTTTGTGTGCCACATTTTCTTTATCCATTCAACACTTGATGGGCATTTAGTGTTTCCAGTTCTTAGCTACATAATAGCTGTAAACAGTAAATGCAATAAACTGAGTGCATATATCTCCTTGAATTAGTGTTTTCACATTTTTGGATAAATACTCAGTATTGGATAATTAAATCATATGGGATATATATTTTTGGTTTTGTGAGGCATTGCAACAATTCTTTTCATCATGGCTGCACCATTATTTACATTTCTCGGGCCTCCCCTGGTGGTGCAGTGGTTGAATACTGGGCTGCAAAGCTGCCCGCAGCCTCTGCAGCGCTGGTTCGATCCCCGGCTGCCAGAGAGGGTCCCACATGGTGCACAGACCTCTCCTGCCGTACCTGCTGCTCCCCTCAGCAGTGTATTTAGTCAGTCTGCCTGTTATGTTCCCTGCTCTGGCTCTGGTGAATTCTCTCACCCTCCCGCACATCTGACTGTACCAGTGCTTGTATAAATAAATAAATCTTAAAACAATAGATATATATTTACATTTCCCTCAACAGTGCATAATATTCCTTCTCTCCATGTTCTTCAGCACTGTTGTTTCTTATCTTTTGGGATAATAACCATTCTCACAGGTGAGATTTGATATCTCACTCTCTAACACCATGCACACAAAATAATCCAAAATGGATTGAAGACTTGAATATAAGTCCAGAGACCCAAAACACATAGGAGAAAACACAGGTCATATGTCTTTGACATCAACCTTAAAGATGTGTTTGGGGACTTGACTCCAATGGTTAGGGAAACAAAAGTAAAACTAAAGTAAGTAGGACTGATTCAAACTGAAAAGCTTCTACAAGTGAGAGACAATTGCCTCTAAACAAAAAGCCATCTGATAGAGTATGAGAACATATTTGTACATCACACTTTCAATAAGCCATACAATACAAAATATGCAACGAACTTATAAAACTCAACAATTAAAAAAAAAAACCTTACTAAAAATTGGGAAGGAGAACTGAATAGTCTTCTAAAAAACGACACATGGATACTCCATAGACACATGAAAAGATGTTTATCAGCTGTTACTATTAGATAAATGCAAATCAAAGCTTTTTGAAAATATACTGTAATGAAAACTATATTATTTTTATTTTCATTTGTGTTTCACCTGCTCATAACCAATATTTTTAGGAAAACTTTTTTAAATGATAGTATTTTTTTTATCCTACACAATCATCAAGCAAGATGAACTCTTTGGTTCAATTTATAGTCCTCAGGTTTCAATGTGTATAAAAACAAAGTGATCTTTCTTAAAAACAATAAAAACCACCAAGAATTGTAACAAGTAAGATTAAGGAGGGGAGAGGCATTTTGAAGAAAACCAAGTCAATAGTGATTTCCTTTGACATGGATGTCCACGTAAGCTGTGCTCTTATTGCTTTCTTACCATATATTTCCCAAAATCCTGGGAAGGAAAAAATGTAGTTTTGTTCTAAAATCTTACAACTTAAAAAAATGCTGTGATTATGTATGTTTGATACATTTATTGCTAAAAATGTGGTAATAGCATGTAAGACATAACAGTGAGAAGAAATTTGCTTCATTTCTTAAATAGGAGTAAAATGAAAGGTATAAATTGCAATTATATTTATTACTATAATTAAAATTTATAAAATAACCAAGCTAATATATGTGTCTAGGATTCATTGTCATTATTGTGTAAAACGCTAATTAGGCAAAGAATGAATTCTCTTAAATGTTGATTTCACATATATGACTTTTTAATTATTATAATTATAATTATGTTTAATTTTTAATTTAAGTAAGTATATTTAAATTATTCAAATGGGTATATTTAAATTATTTTTTTTCTTACTGACTTGTTTTGCCATCTATAAATAGCATTTTGTCAGTAGATATTTTTTGTGTGCTAAGAGAACCTAACATGTGAACTATTCTCTTAAAAAATGTTTGTGTTCAATAAAATGTTGTCAACTACAGTAAGAATGTTAAACAGCAGATCTCTAGATCTTATTCATCTTATATAACTGAAACTTTATTCCTATTCCACAGCCACTGCCCATTCCTCCTGCCCCCAGGCTTTAGCAGTCACCATTCCGACTGCCTGTGTCTAAGAGTTTGACCATTTTAGATACCTTATATAAGAGGAATCATGCAGTTGCTTTTCTTTTTTGTAAATACGTACAGTCAAAACACACCTGAAGTCATGTTCATGTACAAATGGAGTAGAGCAGTCAAATGCCAAAGCCACCTAATTTTTCTCTTTCAATATCATCTCTCATATTATGATGTGACTATTCTTTGTTAACATGTTCTGCCACTCTCTCCCATCCTTATCTTAAACTTCTATCCTATTTGAATGATCCATACAGGGGATCCTGAAAGCTTCAATCCTGAGGCAGTGGAAGTGCAGACTCAAAAGTCTACAAAGAACTGAGAGAAGGGGTGTTTGCCCAGGATCTAAATTCATTCCTCCTTACTGATCAGAAATAGCAGAACAAAATAAAAGAAAGAAAACACCTCAGAGAGTAAGTAAAAAAAACTACATTAAAGTGAAAAAATATACATTAAAATCATATTTGTGAACACAGACTATCAAAGAGACAGAGAGGAATAACCAATATGAGGCAAACAGAGAAAGCTACTAATATGTGTTTCTGATAGTATTTCATGATTTTTTTATCTAGATTTTTTCTTTATCCCAGGAGATTCTTAAAATATCCTCCAGCAGCCTAGCATAGCCAACCTAGTACAAGAACTTTGATAACCACAAGTAAGTTTTTAAGGGGAGGAAGAAACGATAATCTCCTATCTCGACATCCTAAATGTATTGTTTCAATCTTGCATTCCTGTTCAGACTTAGGAGTAGGTTATTACTTAATGTGATGCAGAAAAGCTCACATGCCTCAAATTATACTTTCTTCATTTACTTGCTGACCCATGAAATTATCTTAACACAGGTCATTGGCTTTACTTCTGTCATTAAAATGCAAAGGATTAAAAGGTAATGGCCTAGCCACTGGAGGAAAAATAAAGCACATTGATGGTAAACATTCTATATCTTTCTTGAAAAGTAACTGGTTCTTACCAACAGAGAACAGAAAGAGAGAGTGAGAGAGAGAGAGTGAGAGAGAGAGAATTTGGTTATGTTGGAGAAATACAGGCAGGAGAATATACAAATAAAATTCTCAGGATAGTGAAGCCTTACTATTTCATATCAAGTACATTTATTTAAGATTGGTAAATATATTTAGACAGATAGTGACCTATTCTACTTATTGCAGTCTGGCTCCCTGGATTACCCCACAATAATGGCAGCTGTAGAAACAAGAATCTTTCACCACATATTTGAAAAACATATACCAAAAAATAGATAAAGATCAATAAGGAGAGAAAATAATAATACACATAACTTACATCTTTAGAATAATCAATAAATAGAGTTCAATGAAGTACAAATATCGTGTAAATGTGCATACCTTATTCCTATTTATAGAGGGAAGTGGAAAGTTTAAGGCCACTGTAAGATACAAAAAAGAACCCCAATAAATACCCTATGCCAAGGCTAAAGTGCTAAAGACATTTCTGAGCCCTGATGGGTCAGCACTACTAAAGCATTACTCAATGATATGCATAAAGAAATTATTCAAAATGTGGTTATAAGCAAAAATATGAATTTTATATCATTACTAAAACATTATACAATAAGCAAGTTGAAGGGTCATTTGACTATAAGGAATTATAACTTGTCCTTTTTACTATCCACTATTAATTAGAATTCGGATATTTATAACTCTGTAGAGTTAAATGTTAACTTGTAGAACACTCTTAAGATTTAAATGAATCAACATAATGCAGATGCAAATAATTTTTGTCTGCTAGAGAAGAAATATTATGGAGTTGTTAGTCCATAGGGCATTTAATTGGAACTTTTATTGAACTATTCAACTTATTGCATCATTTTTAGGTGTGCTTCTTTGAGTATATGTACATGCACACATGTGTAAATGTGTGTGTATATTTCTCGTACCCTACTTTGAAAAGTCATTGTGATCATATTACCCTATTAGGTTCCTCACTAATATAATAAAACAAATACTGGCATGGGAATTACTCTGTGCCTTTATCCTGCCTGTGGTTTTAATATTTTGAGAATTATACTTTGACAGCTATATAAGTTTAGTCTTAGAATGGCATTGCTTCTGGCAGGAAGGGTAGTAATTTATGAAGACTGGCAACATTTGAGATTTGGTGATTGAAGAGATTATTTTCAAGGAATTGAGTTATGTCTATAAAGGTTACAAGTCTGTAATCTAAAGGTAGGCCAGCCGACTGAAAACTCTTGGGCCAAGGTAAAAGTTTTGAAGTAGAATTTTTTCTAACTCAGGAAATTTCAGTTTGCTCTTAAAACCAATTGAATGAGGCCCACTCACATTATCAAGGTAATCTCACTGGAGTCAACTCATTACACACATTAACCATATTCACAAAATACCTTCATAACAACACAATATTAGTGCTTCATTGAATAGATGTGTTCTACAGCCTAGTCAAATTGATATATAAAAATAATCAACACAATGGGAAAGGGAAAATAAAAAGTAAAAGGGGAAATTAAATGTCCTGAAAAAACAAAAACCAAACAATTTCAAAGATTCATCTATACTCCCTAAATCCCTAAGGACAATTTTATTGAATGAATTTGTGTTTTGCTATACAGACACAAGGAAATGCCTTTGAACCAGTAATCTAATAATTTATATAAAATCCTATGGACCTAAATTCCATTCTACATTCAGAGAAGGCAAATAGATGAAGGAAACAGATGATGAAAATTCCTGTTTTCTCACATGTAACAATTTTGTTTTTAAAAATCAGGTTATAATATTTTTTGACCCAAGAGCTATTTAAGGTCTTCTAAAAATGTTGGAATGAAATGTTTATTTGTTCACTTTACCAATTATGGGGAAATAGTTCTCTCAGGAATCAGAGGATAGTCTAGCACACATTTAGGGGCTCTACAATATGTCTTACTATTTGGTAAAACTACAATCTCCTTATTACTATCATTTTGCCTACAAGCAACTCTCACATATTTTTTCCATGTCCAACTTACCAACTTGTTCACTTCCAGGAAAGGTAGGCCAGCAGACTGAAGACTCTTGTGCCATTTCCAGGAAATAAATCTTGTTTATATTTGGGTTATACTAAATTTTTAGCTCTATAACGATAATTGAAATCTATATAATATTCAGCTGTCTTATCCAAGAACATTGATATCTTTATATATATATATATACATATATATATATATAGCACAACTGATTTTTGTATGTCAAGTTGTATTTTTGTATGTCAGCCTTGCTGAACTCATTTATTAGTTCTAGTAGTTGTTCAATGAATTTCTTAGAATATTCTAAGTGTAAGATCTTGTCTTAGCAAATACAGATGCTTTTAATTGTGAATGTGTTACTGAGCAAATGCTTGCTGCCCAAAGCACATGGAAGTCAAAACTGTGGTCATGACTTCTGAGAGAATAAAAAACTTAATTGGAAAGTCAACCAGGAGGGAGACAGGAGACAAAACTCATATTTGTTTTCCTGGTATGGGAGGTGAGATTGTCTTTATGGAAGAAGAAGAAGAAAAACAGCTAGGAGTAAGGAAATTATGAACCTGTCAAAGTTTGATTGGTTATTCACAAACAGATCATATATGGAGAGGTTTTTCCTGATAACCAGATCTTATTGACGGACCCATCACTTTCGAATCTTAGCTTCTTGTCATTGGTCCCTTGTTTTTGACTTACTTGGAGTTCAGCTTAAGGTTAGTCACTTTTACACATGCTCAGGTTGTAAGGTCTGTAGACAAGTGTCAAGTTGTGATTCTTGTGAGAAAACATGCTTGATAGGGATATGAGATTAAGTTGATCATGAGTTTGTTGATATTATAGGGAATTGAGGGCAGATGCAATTTGTTTCTTGGTATATATGTGTGTGTGTGTGTGTGTGTGTATATATATATATATATATATATATATATATATATATATATAAATTTCTTTTTCTTACCTTCTTCAACTGCGTAAACACTCCAAGATAATGCACAACAGAAGTGACTACAATGACTATCTTATTTTGTTTCTGATCTTTGGAGGTAATCATTCACTACTTTGCGGTGGGGTTGTGTGTTTGCCATGAGTGTCTCATACATGCCTGTTGGCAGTTGAAGAGGATCCTATGGCTACTTTGTTACATGTTTTTATCATGAAAGGGAGTTGGATTTTGTCAAATGCTTTTTCTGCAACTATTGTGATCAAACAGTTGTGTTTTTTTTTTTTTTTTTAACCCTTTTAATATTGGGCCTCCCCAGTGGCGCAGCGGTTGAGTGCTGGGTTGTGAAGCTGCGCGCGGCCTCTGTGGCGCCAGTTCAATCCCCGGCTGCTCCCACATGGCGCGCAGACCTCTCCTGCCGCCCGCTGCTCCCCTCAGCAGTGTACTTCGGTCCTTCTGCCTGCTCTGCTCCCCGCCCTGGCTCTGGTGAATTCTCTCACCCTCCCGCGCTTCTGACTGTACCCAGTACATGTATAAACAAAACAAACAAACAAACAAATAAATAAATAAAACATGTCTCTATAAAAAAAAATACATATATGGTATGTCATAGTGACTTAATTTTGTTAATCTGAGTTTACATTCCTCGCATGTATCTCACTTGGCCATGGTATATGATCCACTTTGTATATTGCACGATTTAGTTTGCTTATATTTTGCTGAGGATTTTAGCATCTTTGTTTATATTGGCCCCACCAGAGTTGGGAATTGTTACTTTATTCTATTTTTGATGGGAAATTTTGTGGTATTTGTACTGATTCTAAGTTAAACATTTGGCACAACTCATCCGTGACCTGACGCTAAGATTTTCTTTTGGAAGTTTTTAAATTACAAACTCAACCACACAATTCTTGATCAATCAATCCAAATTTTCTTTTTTAATTCCATTTTTTAAATTTTATCAATTTTTGTTTCATGGGTTATGAATCTTAATTATTAGATAAAATACCTTGTGATTATGTCATCTTTCTGATGAATTGATCCCTTTATAATTATTTAACATTTTATAATTTGTGATACATTTTTTCTCCTTAAAATACATATTTTATCTGACATTGATCTAGCCATTCCATTCCTTTTCTGCTTACCATTTATGTTCATTGATTCCACATCAATTATTTTCTTTGTTTAAAGTACGTATCTTGTAGACAGCACAAAATTGTGTCTTGCTTTTTATTTTATACATTTCAATAAACTCTCCCTATTAACTGCACAGTTCATGTAATTATTAATACAGTTGAACTGAGAATACCATTCTGTTATTCTCCATTTTGCTTGTTTTTTTTTTTTCATTTTGTTTTGCTTTACTTTTCCTGCTTTTTGGACTATTTTATTATCTTTAGGACCATTTTATTATCTTTAGAACTCCATTTTAATTTCAATATTCCTATTAACTTATAACATAAATTCCTAGCTTT